CCAGCAGTGACAGCTCACTCCTCCCACTAGAAAAAACACCAGCTGCAGAGGGAAAACACGTGGCTGGGAGAGTCCCCACGAGGAACAAGTGATCTCCTGTGTCCTGGGAGAAGGGGCTGCTTCACTCCCTGCTGTATGAGACAATTCCCACATCCCTGATTGCCTCCCACAAAGTCCTTTTGGGACTCAGGGGATCACCAGTTTCTCCGCAAGGGGTTCTTTTCTCAGCTTTATTGCACAGAGAGGGATAAAATTCCTGCAGAGGACAGGCCCAGGAGACAAAACTTCTGTTTCTAAACAGGCTGATTCCTTAAGGTATCACCTCAAAGACATTCAGCTCGCCAGCAAGTAGGAAAAATAAAAGGAAGATCATCTTCTTCCACAGGGTCATCCAGGAATCTCACACACACACACAAGTTCTGGCAGAGAAGGAATCCACATCCCTTGCAGGCAAAGCAGGAGAGACAGGAGAACACTGYGATTTTTATCTACAGGTTTTCAGTCTCAYCTGTGAGCTGTGGAAGCWCAATTCTGCTGCAGGGAATGTGGMYTAGATCAAGGTGAACCTCACCACCTCCACTTGTCAGATCTSAGATTCCCTTCCTCATGTGGTTAATGCTAAAGGCAAAAAAACTCCCAGGTACAAGAGAATTTAATTGCTCTCCAYACACTTGGTGCATTTACTAATCAKTTATGGGATCTCAGGTTGCTCTGAGCTGAGTCCCAGCAGTGTTTCTCCCAATAAATTGTGATGTAGAGGGTGTAAAACACRRCATGTTATTGGACATAAACCTGGATAGCCCACAAAAACACAGAGGCAGAACAGCCACATCTGAAAAAGCTTGGATCCAGCATGAGGAAGAAGAAATGCCACAGGAAGAAATGAAAAACTGAACAGAACCTAGAAAACAACAGGGAGAAGGTGACATCAGTAAACTTAAGCCATGTGGTATTAGATGGATTGGCAAGGAATCTATTCCATGGGTTAAAAGTTACCTTAGAAGGTCAAGGATGGAAAATATTTGAAGAGAAAGGTTGTTCCATTCAAATATTAAAAGACCAGTAAGGCTTTAGATGGATTTCCTCTYGTGTTTTTCTGCTAATATTTACATTCCTGAAGAAAACTAAGCGCAGGGATAAAAACCAGGAGGGAAGTAGTTACAAAATAAAGCATCTAAAGACAGTCAGCTTTCGTTGTGCTTTAAGCTGCTGCCATCTCGTGGTCTGCTCTCCCTCTCCTGGGCTCAGCACTTCCAAAGCTCCAAGGAGGAGCAGTCATTGGCTGTGATTCACAAAGGCCAGAACAGCATCAGGAAAAAAAGTAACTAAAAATAAAAAAACAAATCCAAAACTTCAGAGAGCCTCTGGGCACCAGTAAGCATGAAACACTCCCACCTCTCTCCCCTCACTATGRCCTACTGCTGTTGGTGGGGGTGAAGAGCATTCTGCAGTAACCTGGAGTGCACAAAAATCTCATTTTGGAATTGTATTTTTGTTAAACATGAGGATTATGGGAGGATATGCTTCTGAGTTGAATTGTACCCAGGTTACCAGCAAGAAAAATGCTGGGAACTGAGCAAATCCAGAAGCCCAAGGCARTCCCACCTTTATATTCCTCCAGATCTGCTGCTGTTGAGCTTCATGGGCAGAAATGCTGGGCAAATAAATGAATGATATGCCTTAAGACAGCTCTGGGAAGAAAAGAGGGCTCTCTCTATGGAAGAATCCTCTTCAGCAGCCACAAGCACAGTCCAAAACCAGCACCCATCTGCAAAATGAGATTAAAGGCTCCCTCACAATCAAACTTCTGCAGTGCAACTGAACCATGCCCTTGTAGGGGTTTTTGGCCCATGGGCTGCATGAGACATCTGAGACAACTCTGCTGTYGTGGCAAAAGCCACCAGCCCACCTGGAACCTCACCAAACACRTCCATATCAATATATATGCAACTAGAAATTGGAATTAATTCACTCAAGGGATGCACCTGCACAAAAGATCACTTTATGTGAAGTAAGGCCACATCCTGACAACAACAAAAAAAAAAAAAAAACCCCAGATAAAAGGGGAAAAACCTTGGCTGTGCATCTACAGCCCCTCAACAGAAATTCACTGCCCTGAACAATCCAAGTCAGTGCTGGTTTATTAACACAGGATCACACAATTAGTCCAAAAATATAGGGAGAAAAAAACCCAAACCCAAAATGTTTCTGACAAGGTCACCTCCAACTTCGTCAGACATCCTCATGATGAAGGTGAACTGAGCCCAGAGAAATATGCACCCTGATCTCTGCACAATTAGGAGGCAATTAGCAAGCCACAGATGGAGATGTTACTCTACCAAGCACCCAGCTAAAATGCTTAGAGCTTGCTCATGTGCTAGAGGCAACCAATTACAAAACCATCATAAAACCCTTCTTGAAGACTATTTTTCAGCTGCAGCCTTTTTTAGCTCCTGCTCCAAATCCTCATTTCTCACGAGAGAGAGAATAAGTGCGGATTTCCCATCTCAAAAATTCTGCTTCATTAAGTGTCTAATGTTGCCCATTTCCACAAGCCATCAAAAGAGGAGAAACATTTATAATATAAATATGAATGAGCTCGGATAACAGGTTGCAATGATTGAGATGCAYCATTTACAGAGGAACAGGCCATAAGAATAAATCCATCTGCACCATTCCTCCCAGCARTCTTTCTTTTGATAGCCAATACTGAGACACACATTTTACTTTTTAAATACCTTCCAGGCAGGACTGCATTCCAAGGAAAAATACCTTAATAAATATCAACTTGCTCGGAAATTTAACTTATCTGGCAAACACAATTCAAGGAGATCAGGAAGCCCACTGGAGTTTCAAAGGGAGAAAGCAGCACTGAGGTGGATGGTTTGRCCAGGAAGATGAATCTTAATTAGGGGTGGAGAGTTCCTGTACTTTTGAGGGACACAAAGGCATGAATTTCAAAGAGGACCAAAGGAATCAACCTAACTAGAAAGAATGGCTTTTTTTTTACTGAAATTGTAGCCAGGTTAAATATTGTATTAAATCCGCAGCTCTAAGAGCCTTGAGCCTTTGATAAAATCTCTCCCCATGCACCATTAAAAAGCAAAAATATAGTGCCCCATCTGTAGTAAAACCCGGGAAACCTGCACATAGACCACAGTTACATGATCCTCTCAAAGCCTGCAGACCAAACCACACCCTAGGCCTACCATTCATGACTATCACTCCTCCAAACTGCATTTTCCTGCTGTGAACCCTCAGTACTGGGGAGAGCAGGTGAGTACAACATGAAGAGGATGCTGTGACCCCGCACAGCTTCACAAGAGCTGTCCCAGCACACCCTCATTACCACCAAGCAGCCCATTAGTTTCCCTGATGTTTTATTAGGAAGCCCTGTGCTACTTTTGGAGGTTTATTTAGCAAGTGGARCATACAGTGCCCTTTGGTATTTCTCCTCTTCTTTCCATTCATTTAAGTCAATATTAAGTTAAGGCACTTTTTAAATACATATCTGTGCTCTCCTATCAGCCAAMAGTTCATTTACCAAGGCACTGAGTTCCACAGAGATCAACAAGCAGAAAGGGCAAGCAAAACCTTATTATTTTTCCTGAAGTACCACATCTTTTCAGCCAGAGCTCTTCAGCTCATACCAATGTGGCTACAATCAGAACAAAATCAGAGCTGGAACCAAGACTGGGAGAAGAGCAGGTTCTACCCCTGACCTCCACTGCTGCCTGGGAGCTGCTGAATGCACCAAGGCCAGCACTGAAGTGGAAGTAAAGCAGCCCAAAAAGTACTTTCAGAGGCAGCAAGRCACACCCTCTACATTGAATTGAAACAGCAGGTGTTTCTCTGTATGCCTCAGAGTTGCCCAGACAAAGAAAGCATCTTCAAGTAGTCATCAATATTCACAGAGAAACCTGGCATGAGAAAAAAAAAAATCAGGGAGGCAGATAAAAAGAACAACTTGTAAAAGAGCTGGATATCAGAGAAAAGAAGTGTCTGAATCTCCTGAGAGACACTACCACTCAAACTGCAGCCTGCCACAGTCAGACACCTCGAGTTTTACTGTCTCTAGAAAGTCTCACAAAGAACAATCAGCAGCCTTCATTCTCCTAGCAAGAGAGGATTGCACCTTCTCACCTGAACTTGGTTTATCTGAGATGCCTGAAGACAGCTACAGCAGGACAGAAATTATGTGGTTTGACTTAAGCACCACAGAAAGAGCTGTTAGACTTGCCCTAATAATATAAGATTGTGTCTTTATCCAGAGTCTATCCTCTAAAAGAGCTAAAAAAGAAGCAGTCACATCCTTAAACTCTGAGTTAAACTGAGCTGAAGAAGTTTTCTTCCCTGCTAAGAGCCAGGATGACATTGCTATGCTCCCTAGACTCCAGCAGAAAACGGGAAACAACGTTGAAAGAAAGGATGATGCAGTGGAACACTTCAATTCCTTGGCCACCACCTTTTAGACAYAAAATAATAGCAGGAGACACCTGGCTTGGAAGTGGACCCTTCATCAAGTATAATTAAATGCTGATTTAGTAGGTAATTTAGTCCTGTGAAGTTCTTGGTCATGATCTCTACCTCTGCTCTGACGACGCATTTAACTTTATTAAAAACATTAGCATTGATTTTCTCCACTCATTACAAGCCAGTGGATTTATCCRCATTAGCAAATGAATTCATCCAAACTTTTATTCCAAGAAGAGCCAAAGCCTGCAGGAAAGCAAGAGCTACAAGCTGTCACCAAGGGAGCAGCATCACCTATTTCTTGCTCTTCTGACTCACCTGGCCAGGTGAGTTACACTTTTGCAACCCTCAAGATAAGCAAAAGCCCAAACAGATCAAGCAACAGAAGGTATCTCCTGTTTTCTGAGGCAACAAGAGTTCTGCAACCACCACATTCATCCCAGTGCGGCAGCTGCAGTGAGAAACCTTTCACACTCCTGATTGTGCGAGCATTAAAAAAATCAAGCAATGCCTTGGGAATGCGTTACCATGGGATTGGAGTCTGCAATCAGGTCACGCAGGGAATCCAGGAATCCTTGGTCCTCCACCATCTGGGCATTGATGTCGTGCAGCTTGGCCACGCAGACGGCCGCGGTTTTCCTCACGTAGGGGTCCTCGTCCTTCAGACACTTGCGGAGMGGCTCGCACAGGTACTCGGTGATTTTATCCACGCGGATGCATCCCATGGTGCGCACGGCCAGTGCACGGATCAGGGGGTTGGGGTCCTCACAGTCCTGCAAGAGAAAATCAACAAATCTGCACCMCCAGCCACTGATTCTCTGCAGGCAGGATCAGGCTGGTCTTATTTAAGAAACATTTTCTGATTACAGGCTAAGAGCCAGGCAATTATTGCAGAWCAGGGATAAAAGGGCTGCTTGCTGCTTCACAGAAACATTTTAAACCATCTCRAGATGTTTCCATCTCATCAAATGGTGATCTTGGTGTCCCTTCCTTCTCCCAGGCAAAGCTGCTTTCAACAKGATCCAGCAGATGGAGAGGCAGCTCTCAGCACCCAAAATCTAACCACAGACAACTCTCAAAGTAATTTACTGATTTCCAGCCTTCGTGGTTTAAAGGAGYAAGAAATAAAATAGGAAAAATCAACAATTAAAAACAAGTCACCAAGACTCATTTCTTAAAGGCCAAACACAAGCATCCCTCAAGTTACAACACATGAGGCACTAAGCAAAGGCTGCTCTAGAGGTGCTTTTCTGAAGAGGAAAAAGAAAAAGCCGGCAGGAATACAGCATTTCCTACTTCAAGCYTACACAATTTTCCACACATCCAATCCATCTACATCCCTGAGCTCCTCCAAAATCAGCCTGTAAAAKGATGGCCACAGAATGACCCACAAAAGCATTTACCTTTCACTGGTGAAACTTCCTACAGCTGAAAAACCACTTTGAAAGTAAGAGAAGTGACACATCCTACCAGTGCAATCCACACCCTGAACTGGGAATGCTGAGTTAGTGCAGACCAGCACCAACACCTGCTCATTACTRACACCTCAACTTGCCAAAAGGGACACCAGGCTTGTCTTTGGAGGGAAAAGCAGGAGATAGAAAATATTTTGCTAGTTCATTCTAACAGAATTAGACTTTTAAGACAGGACAATATCCTTTCCAGAAAGGAAGATAGGGACATCCAGCCTGCTCTCAGCCTGGGTCTTTTCACCTCTTTCTGCCTCAAGAATCCCAAAAGAAACCTGAAACTCAGGCCCATTCCCCAGTGTCTCAGATTTTATAACGCTYTACAAGGAGTCTCAAACTTCTTCTAAGGTCTGGCTTTTATCTTGCATAACATGGGACTGAAGTAACATTTCCCAGATAAGGAGAGGCAACCTGACAACAGAACTAAAGGCAGCACAGCAATCAGGCTGTTGTTTTTCCAGTGAACTGCCTTTCAGTTTCACCAGAGATAAAGCCACTCCACACAGAGCACAACTGAAACATTCAAACAGGAAGTTTGATATCCATGTCTCAGATACTACAAAGGCTGGAAGATGAAACAGATAAAAGCTGGTTTTCAATCCCAGAAGTTGGTAAAACAATAGAAGCAGTTTTCCCTGGAGCAGATTCTCTCAGAGCCACTTACAGAGGTGTTTAAACCATCTCCTCTGCAATAACAAGTGAGAGGAAGGATCCAAATTTAGAGGATTCAGCACTCTCCTCTATGAGCCCAGCTCAAAAGCAGGGATAAAGCTCCCAGAGGCTGATGGACAAAGGAGATGTGCTGGCAGCCACCGTGCCAGCCCCTTTTCTGCTGTGCCAGGGGAGCAGGTTACCTTCACGAAGCTGTTGACAGCCATGATGGCCATGTCTGGCTGGCTTTTGGCATAGTTCATCAGGTACAGGTAGACCAGCTTCTTCAGCTCCAGGTTGTCAGTCTGCATGCAGTTCACAACATCAGGRAACAGAGAGCTGGACAGACAATACAAGCATGAGTAAGAATGGGATCAGAAAATTGTTTAGGTTAGGAAAGATCAGCAGTTCTGCCAGCACTGGCACAACCATGTCCCCAAGTGCCACATCTACACATCTTCTACAGATCTTCCGGGATGGTGACTCTACAACTGCTGGGCAGCCTCTTACAACCCCATCTGAACCTTCCTGGCACAACTTCAGGTTATTTCCTCTCATCTGTAACTGTTCCCTGGGAGAACAGACTGACCCCCACCTAGATCCTCCAGTCAGGGAGTTTAGGGAGTGAGAAGGTCTCACCTGAGCCTCCTTTTCTCCAGTCTGAGCCCTCCCAGCTCCTCACTCCAACTCAGACTGTGCTCCAGGCCCTTCTCCAGCTTCATTCCCTTCTCTGGACATGCTCCAGCCCCACAATGCCTTCTTGCAGTGACTGACCCCAAACTGACCCCAGGATCTGGGATGTGGCCTCAGCAGCACCCAGCACAGGAGGACCATCCTGGTCCTGCTGGCCACACCACTCCTGATACAGGCCAGGTGCCACTGGCTTTTTTGGCCACCTGGGCACACACCTGCTCATGTTCAGCCACAGCTGACCAGCACCTCTTTTTCCCCTTTTTCCAGTCATTTTCCAAGCTCTTCCCCATGCCTGGAGCATTCCATGGGTTGCTGTAACCCAACTGCAGGACCTCGTACCACTGAAACTCAGCCCATGGGTCCAGCCTGCCCAGATCTCTCTGCAAAGCCTTCCTGCCCTCCAGCACATCCACACTCCCACCCACAAGATAAAAAAGTGAGGCTGCATGGCATGCAAAGGGGATAGTAATGATATCAAGGAAGCYAGAAAAACTGGAGTTCCACTTTAAGCACCCTGCTGTTTAATGAAAGGTCACCTTCCCTTTCAAAGCAGTTTGCAATGGCTTTTATAATAATCATTTAATCTTTTCTGTGGCTTTAACATAGGAAGAGATGAAAACTGATGCAATTTCCTAAATGTGTTTTAACTAGGGAGTTCACCAAACAAGAAAATTTCACTGTGCCAGACCTGGAAATGAAACCACAAGAGAAAAAAAAGTTGTTTTAAAATGTTTTGGTCATGTAGGACGCTTATGAAGAACCTGCCAAATTTCAGACTAGTAAAGTCCAGAGTGATTAGAAGCTTAAGCACTGACAAGCTGGGTTTCACTCAAATGTCAAGCAGCCATCTGTAAACAGCACTGCAGAATAACACAGGAAGTTACACAAAGATTCTGCAGCTCCCAGCTTTGCTGCAGGGATCTAAAGGTGAAGGGTAAGAGCTGCTAGTAAAAAAGATGAGGTTTTCATTTTTCTTCCAGTTTATATGTTCCTCCATTCTGTGATGAAGTCACGATGCTAAATTTGCAACCTTCTATTGATTTCCGTGGCAACAGACCACACTGCCATRAATCCAGAATGACTGTGACTCTCTGCTAGGCTCCAGGAACAGGAGAAGCTGGAAGGGTGAAAGCCTTCACTCAAACAGGTTTTTCTGGCTGTCTCAAAGACAGAAAATAGTACTGGGGACAGTGTTGCCGAAGGTAAATGCTGGTGCCCTTTAGCCAGTGAAAGACACAGGTTCAATTTAAAAATCACCCATTTTAAAATGCAGCTTCAATTTATGCTACGCCAGATAAGGCTAAGAAAAACTTGGAATTACCTTTGTAACAATAAAACCAGGGACAGGAGGCAGAAGAAAACATCATCTAAAGTGACAAACAAAATGGTTGAACTATGGATACATTTTAAATAAAAAGGGCTCTCGGCGCTGAGCTAAACCCACACTGAAAAGTTGTTTCTCATGCTTTCAGTRACAGGAAGGAGCTTGAGAAAACTGTGACTCAAGCACAGCACAGGCAAAGGCACAGMCAGCCTCACCAGGGTGCCAAATTCAGAGCTGTTCTCACTACACCTGAGTCTCAGGATGACCTGAACTGCTACAGGTACGAGCTGCTTTTACCTGACATCCTTCCCCACGGTCATGGCTGCAATAACCTTCTTCACAGCTTCTTTCCTCTTCTCTTTCTTTTCATTGTTGAGTTCAGCCTTCAGTTCAAAAATCTCTCCTGGCAGAAGACAAAAAAATAGCTTGAGCCTCTCAGGAGAAGAAAAGAGTCTCATTCTAGGGATACTCACTCAAGAGTGAGTTTTTACTTTCTTGGCCTGTTATTCCCATAAAACTGATCMAGCACCCCATGGAAGCTGCCAGACCTTATGGAAAACATGGTTCAATGAGAAGCAAAGCTGCACCAGTAAAGGACTGATCCAAGCTACACCTTGCAGAGGAAAATGGCAATGAACAAGAACCATGTTGCATGTGGCAGCTCTCCCACTTACAGCACACCAAATCACATCCCTGAGGCAACCATTACATAACCAGGATAGAAGATGCTTGGAGATGCCAGATTCGTGCCTGCGAGAAACAAACTAAGCCAGGAATTTTGCCCAGACTTTTGAAGTTTTGCTCATTGCTGCCTGCTTCCTGAGAAAGCTGGAGAGGAGCCCAAGTGCTGTGGTACACAGTGGCTGAAACAGGAAAGCATGTGTTTAGTCCAGTGGAAAAAAGCTAGAAAGAGCTACCACTAATAAAAGTTGCATGTAGCACAGCTTTCCTGGATTCCAAGGTTCCCAAAGAAGCCTTTTCCATGATTTACTCTTCCAGGTATTACTGGGGAGAAAATTAGTTCAGGCTGGGTCACCGAAGTGGCAAAGCAAGTTTATAAAATAAAGCAACAYGTGCAAAATGTTGTTTATCAGGCCTGTTCCAGACAGAGCCAGTGGTGTGAGCAGGATAATGTTCCCAGCCAGCTTTCCTCAGGAAGGACAGCCAGCAGCATTCCCACTGGGAGCCACCAGCTGAGCACGCATTCCAAAATTCAAAACATCCCTGACAAAATTTTACCACCAACTTTCCATTCCTCCACTCGGTCAGAGCAGCAGCACTAATTAAAATCTGACACATACAGAGACTACCAGGGACTCCAAAAAGGAAAGGAAGCTGCTGCAGTGCAGAGACCACTCATCATCCCTCCTGCCTGAGGAAGAGCCGGGCATTACTCACCMACAGCTCGTGCCCTGGAGCAGAACAGAGCCAGCTCCAGCTCTCACACAGCCTAGACAGCCACCAAAACCTGCCTTCAGCACTGAACTTCCTGAGCTGCTCCTCAGAAAGATGTCAGCTGCATTAGCTTCATTTATGAGCTCATTGCAAAGCTTAATGACACATAAATAGATCAACAGTGGGGTTTTTTCCACTGGTGAGCATTCAGAGAAAGCACTCAGACATTTTGCAAAGGCGAGGTTAATGCAAAGCTTTTCCCACATCTGCTGGAGAATGATCAGGCTTAAATTGAACCAGCAAAAGTGTTTTGTTCAAGAATAGGTTAGAAAATCTGCCTAGGACAGTCTCAGCAGAACAAGCCCAGCCCTGAATGGGTAAAATAATCCCAAAGATCCTTTCCAGGCTTCCYATTTTTAAGGACAGCAGTTTGTCCTGAGGTAAGGTGACCACCACACCYGCAGCAAAGGCACAGGAAAGTCAAACAGAGCACCTGCAGCTTTGGAGGAAATGGCAACAGGAAAACCCATTGTGGTTGCTTGATACACATATCCAAAATATTGAATTCCTCACAATCAACTTAATCCTGATGCCTGACTTAACAACCATCCTCAGTCTGGCACTTGTTAGGCAACAACTAAAACTTTGTCTCTAGCCAGATCTGCATTCAAATCCCAATGTTTTGCTTCCTGATCCTCAAAAAAAAGCAGCAATTTGGGTCATTTTGTGCATCATAAAACTGTATAATACACCAGTTTTGTCTTTTTTCACCATGTGACCTACTTTGGAAGTTTCTCCCTGGATGATTAAGAAGAGAAACAGGGACAGAGCGACCAGAAAAGCACAAGTTCTCCTGCATGCAGTTAAAAAAGCTGTGCAAAAATAGCCACCCACCACCTCCAATCCACTGCACCAGCTGAACACCAACCTTTTTTATTGGTCGTGAAGTATTTGGAGTCCGTCATGGTTCCAGTTYCTTAAAACACCTGAGAATAAGGAGGATAAAAAAAGAACAAGTCAGCTCCAAATGCTGCTTGGTGGCAACACCCAGTTGGTGAGGCAGGAACTCGGAGCAAGGACGGTTGGTGAGGGARGGAGGAAGTAAAAGCTTCCCATCCACAGGCACGAGATGCCCAATCTTCATCCTGCTGGCATCACCTGGCAAAGCCAGGGATTTAAAAGGCTTGGTAAAAACAGAGCAGCAGTGCCCAACCCAGCTTCTCAAATTTTCAGTCTCAGCATGGATAAGGCATGTTTTTTCAACTCCTTATAACCAGCAGATGCTGGCATGATCTGCAGCTGTCTTTCCTGGATACACAGATCCATTTTCCAAGGAAAAGCACATCCAGTGTCTCGCCTGGCAGCGAGAAGTCCACGTTTCAGACAAAGGAAACTGTCATCTCCCCCTAACGATATCTGCCTGTGCTGCATCTTGATGGAAGGCACAATTAACCCCACTTGCAACACCCACCCCCAGGCCTTTCATTCCTTTGCCTCCTTTTGTTCCCAGGAGATGCAAAACAGTGTTTTGTCGTGAAGAAAAGCCATTACTTTTCAGTCCTCTCAAGTTTGAAATTGAAATCTTTCTCTGCCAAGATCTGACATCCCACCTCTGAGAGACATACACACACACATATAAAACTCATTAATTCAGGGCTGCTCTCTCCTTTTTTTGTGGACAAGATGGAAAAATGCTGTTGGAGCAGCAAGTGCTCAACAGAGCCACGGGAGTGGTCTCACCAGCACTTCTCTTGCTCCACAGAACTAAATTAATGCCTTGGAATGCAGGGATTGCCCAAATAAATGTGGATATCCATCATTTTGTTCTTACAATTGCTAACTCTATGCCAAACATGAAATAATTTTCAYGTGGAGTGGGCAGTTTTATTGCTTTTGAAGAAAGTCTGTTTCAAYGCCAGTAGGAACTATGACCCTAAAACCATGTCAAAAAGGATTTTATCACTCCTTTCCTCCTTTTTCTAATTTTTTTTGCCCCAATTCCCCTTTTCTTACACATCCTTCCATGACCTTAAATGCTGCTAGCAAAGCAGTAAATCATCTGTTCCCTAAATGCTGCCTCTAAACCCTGCAGGTCTTGCTGGCTCAGCAACAAAAGGACCAGCACAGCTTTGAACTCCAGGAGTGCCCAGCAGTGCAGTCAGATTGTCGTTCCTTAACCCTTTTCCTTCCTCATCCCTTCACTGACCCCAATGCCATCCCCATTCCTTTTCCCCCAATCCTCCTGGATCAGTTTAACACTCAGCACTAGAATTCCCAGCAGCAGCTGAGGGATAATGCCCCAATATCCATCCCTTTCTTGAGAAGTTCTGGGGGTATCCTGTCCAGTTGCCAAACATCTGGATGAGGGACAACCTGTTGCTTTTCCCAGTTTCCTGGAGCTGCTGCCTGCCCTGTGCCTGCCTGCTTGCCATCTCATCCAATTAGGCTCAATTTACTGGGTTGGGTTTGATTTCTCTCCCTTTCTCCTCCTGCCAAGCCTGGAGACAGCTCTGCAAACACATTCCTCCTGCAGAGGTTTAACCTCCTTCCAAAGCAGAGGCTGGTTGGGAAAAGTGACATGACACACATTTTTTTCCAGCAAAAATCTCCCAGCCCCACTGAAAGCTGCTGTGGGGCTTGTCTGGTAATTACAATCAGAGTCTGTGGTCAGCTGCAATGTTATTGCTGACACAGTCCTTCAGGTTTGAGCCCAGCTTAAAAGGAAGACTTAAAATGTTTTTCTCTACGAGAGCATTTGGCACAGTGCCATGCAAAAAGCACTGAACGTGGCCTCGATGTTCTTTGTTTGCATTATGTGGGGATTTGTCATCCAGGGTCACGTCTCAGCTGAGCTACTCTAATACAGCTTTAGCTGGGGCCASAGCAGCAGATTAGAGAGAAAATCGAGGGGGGAAAAAAAATCCCCAAACACCATAAACATCAGCCCAGTTGCATAAAGCTACACACAGAGAAGAAGGAACCTCACTGAAATTCAGAGGTGGTCGCTCAACCCCAAAACCAGGACATTTTGCTGTTTTCCTGCCTTCAGWTCATACACTTGGAAGCACAAAGAATCCTCGAAACACTCAGACAGGGCCAAGCACAGCCCATGTMTTTCAACTTGCTTTGAGAGATGCAAATGAGAACTGACTTAGGTCTGTAACCAAAGTGCCCTGCTGCAAGTGCAGCACAGGATAAAGCTCTTTTTCTCACGAGCACACAGATTGCTGCTTCATGTGTGTCAGAGCTTGCTTCGCACCGTGTTCAGAGCCAGCCTGCCAGCAGCACWGGGTATTATCTCATCACTAACAACCTCAGCATGGTTTACAGCAAATGGAACCAAACCAGCCCAGATATTTCAAACASTGCTGTTTGTGTGACTGCAGAAAATGCCAACTCCTTGTACGCAAATCTAAACCGAGGAGAGCAAAGATAAAACCAAACATCGTTAGCAGCTTTGTACTTCTAGAAGGAAATCCACTTCAGATTGCCCCCTCCTCACTGTTGTTGTCTCACAGCTGAGAACAAAAGGCTCCTCCTGATCCAACCCCAGCAAAAAATCAGAGACAAAATAAAGGAATGGCTCCAGAAAGCCCCAGCAATGCTTAATGCCATAAACAGTAGCTTGACATTTCGATGTAGACCTAACCAAAGCAAGATCAGCCTCCCCAGCCCAAAACCACACAGAAAACCTGAGCCTGGGTCTGACCAACACCTGCTTGACCACGTGCACGACTCCAGTCAGCCTGACCCGCTCCCCAGCACTGATCCCACACAGGAAGGGGGCAGCTTTAAGGGCCTCAGGACTGAGCCAAGCTCCTGGACATTGAAACCATCAATCCTTAAATCTCTCAAGTGATCCCTGGTTTAACTCCAGTGCAAGTGGTGCCACCCATTTTTCCTGGAAAGCCTCTCAAGGAGCTGCATGACAGCCCCAGTGTGACCCAGGGCCACTGGAGAACCARAACAATGGAACAGGGATGGCAGAGGGAGAGCTGTGCCTGCAGCCCTGAACTTGTGCTGGCGCAGGGATTTTGTTCACATCTTGGGCACCAAACACCCCCTTGGTGCTCCCCTTTCCACCTGCTCCTCCTGTCACCTCCCCATTCCTTGGAAATACCCTTCCATGCCTCCAGCAGAACCCACAGCACCCACCACACTCCTGCCTGGCATCCCAGTATCCCACTCCAGCCCTTCTCCCTCAGCACCATTCCCCAGATSTCTCCCAGTATCCCCCAGTCACAGGAGCATTCCCCATCAATCCCAGTTCCCCTCCCCAGCATTCCCAGGCCCAGCAGTGCCTGCCAGTCYCTCTCAGCACCCAGCCTTGATCCCTGCCTGGTCCCACTAGTATCCCAATACCTTGCTGTGCTCATTCCCAGTCCRGCCAAGCCCCATCCCAATCCAACCCCCAGCACTCCCTCCTCACTCCAGAACAGTGTCTCCTCTCAGGGCCCAGTGACCCCACTCCTCACCCTCACCCCTCCGGTTCCCCACCCAGATCCTCTACATCCACCTGCCCAGTCCTTCCAGTGACCCCCCCATCCTCTTCCAGTACATCACCACAACCRCTCCCAGTGCCCCACCAGGGACTCTCCCGGCCCTATTCCAGTTCCCCCTCCCAATGTCCCGCACAGTGCCCCTTCCCAGTGCCCCTCACCTCTCCCAGGTGTCCCTCCCAGTAGCCCACCAGTGCCCCCTCCTCGCCCTATCCCAATCCCCCCACCCCTCATCTCCCCCCGGTATCGCCTCCCATCATCGCCAGCCACTCCCTAACCAGCACCTCTCCCCGCCCCACCCCAGTACCCCCCATCTCCTCCCAGTATCCCCTCCCAGCACCCCTCTCCACCCCATGCCAGCACCCACCAGTGCCCCTCACCTCTCCCAATATCCCCTACAGGGGCCCCCTCAGCCCCTCCCAATACTCCACCTGTGCCCCTCCCCGCCTTGTGGCAGTCCCCCCTCCCAGTTCCCCACCAGTAACTCTCACCCCCTCCCCGTATCCCCTCCCAACGCCCCCCGGTGCCCCTCCCACCTCTCCCAGTCCCCTCACGCCCCGGCTCCACTCACGGACCGGACTCACCGCTGCGGGGGCGGTGGCGGCGGCGGAACCGGAAGCGGAGGGGCCGGGCGGACTCGCGAGCAGCGAGATCAAACCCTCCCCCGCCCAGAGCGGCCGCGCCCCGCCACCATAGAGCGGCGGCAGCGGGCGGAGCGCCGGCGGCCCGCGCTTCCGGGAGGCGGGGCGGAGCGGCCCTCGGCGGGGCGGGGCCGAGGCGCCCCCTGGCGGCGGGGCGGTGCGGCGCGGCGGTGTCATGGCGGAGGTGGGCGCGCACCTCACGGCCGCCCCGGCCGGGGGGGACCGGCCGTCCGTGTTCGAGGCGGTGGCCCAGGACAGCCTGATGGCCGCCGTGAAACCCGCCCTGCAGCACCTGGTTAAGGTGAGGGCGAGGCGGGCCGCGGGTGAGGGGAGAGAAGCGGGGTCGGGCTGTTCCTCCGGCCGCACTCACAGGCAGCGGGATAGTTGTGACCCACTTGGCTTGTGTTGTGAATTAGAGGCGTCGCTTATCGCTGCTGTAATTTATAATTTACACTCGTCTTTAGGCCCTTCCCTGGTTGCTCARAGAAGCTGTGGCTGCCCCATCTCTGGGAGTGTTCAARTCCAGGTTGGACGGGGCTTGGAGCACCSTGGGAYAGTGAAAGGTGTCTGCCCATGGAGGGTGGAACTGGATGTGCTTTAATGCCCCTTCCAACCTAAACTACTCTGTAATTCTTCCTGTTTCATGTCCCTTTCACAACAGGTGCTTGCTGAGTCTAATCCTGGCCGATACGGCTTCCTCTGGCACTGGTTTGATGAGATTTACGTCCTTCTGGATTTGCTGCTCCAGCAGCACTACCTGGCCAGGTGCAGCGCGTCCTTCTCCGAGAATTTCTACAGCTTGAAGAGGATCCCAATGGGAGAGGGCAGACAGCAGCTTCTGKCCACGGCTGGGCTGCCAAAGAGGCAGCACTGGAAGTCTCTGCTCCTRCTGGTTCTTGTTCCTTACCTAAAAGGAAAGCTGGAGAAACTGGTGTCCAGCCTGAGGGAAGAGGATGAGTACTCCATCCACCCTCCATCATCATCCTGGAAGCGCTTCTACAGAGCCTTTCTAGCTGCCTATCCCTACGTAAATATGACCTGGGAGGGCTGGTTTCTTATCCAGCAACTGTGCTACATCCTGGGGAAAGCTGAGCATCATTCCCCCATGCTGAAGCTGGCTGGTGTCCGCCTGGTCAGGCTGACTGYGGAGGATATCCAGGCCCTGGAGAAGAAATGGGCTGAAACCACCTCAAGTCAAACACACAGGTATGGCAGGACCCAGTTCAGCTGCTGCTCTCCAGGGGCTTCCATGTGCGTGTTCATTTGGAGATGCTGCTGCAATTAAAAGTGTTTTTTTCTCCAAAAATTCAAGATGAAAGTTCCCTGTGGCAAAATGTGCTCCAAAAGGGTGTATTGTTAGTCAAAATATGGAATCCAGTAGCAGGGATTAGCTTGTAACGATTTTGTGGTAATAAAATTGCAGATTTTGGGGGTCTTTTTGGGCAAGCAAGCCTTTATCGGTTTAGCCTTTACCTGCACTTTTCCAACAAGGGAAGTAGACTGAGCAATGTTGTTAAAAGGATTGAAACTGAGTTTTTTGGTTTTCCTGAGCAGCAGCTAGTCATGACCACACTTAACATCCTGTGAAATAGTGATCCAGGAGTGAAATACTCTGTAGTCCAAAGCCCCTCAATCCAAACTCTTCTGATTTAGACTTGTGAACCAAACAGCATTTGGATCTTTCTCAAAATGCAAAGACTCTGAAACATCCTGATAATTGTAAACATGGGACAGGTTGCCCAACTAACTTAGCAATAAGGAGCTGTATGAAGCAGTGAGTTCTTTATTGAAGAACAGCTTTGTCCCATGGTTTCTAGGTGGATAAAYGTGCAGTAATAACCATCTCTCTCTACTTTTCTCTGCTACAGCTTTACATCCCGAGTGCAGTCAGCCCTGAGGAAAGCCCTGGGCGGCATTGCCTTCTCGCTGTCCACCGGCCTGTCCGTCAGCGTGTTCTTCCTGCAATTCCTGGACTGGTGGTACTCTTCAGAAAACCAGGAGACCATCAAGTCCCTGACAGCRCTCCCCACTCCCCCACCCCCTGTGCACCTGGAGCACGAGCCCAGCTCAGCTCTCCTGCCCAGCCTGAAGACCGTGTGTCCTCTGTGCCGCAAGGTCCGGGTGAACGCCACGGCTCTGGCCACGTCCGGCTTCGTGTTCTGCTACCGCTGCATCTACAGCTACGTGAAGGCTCACCAGTGCTGCCCAGTCACAGGCTATGCCACAGAGCTGCAGCACCTGGTCAAACTCTACTCCCCTGAGAGCTGAAAGGTTTCYAGGAGCTTCCATCGCCCTTTCTTACATCCTGTGGAAGATTTCTGACTGCCACAGCTCATCAGTGAGCTCTACAGCACTTTTGAACTTGGTGGTTCATCAGCTTTGYTGCCTTTGCACATCCTGGCAAGGCTCTCCCCTTTGTTGATAAGCTGTGCAAACATCCTGTGGCAGTTGCAGAGGGATCACACAGCCCCAACCTGTCAGCCAGCACAGAAATGCCTTAAAAGACCAGCTGAAAGGGAAGAAACATTGATTTGGGTAAGAGGAATGCAGATGTGAGGATCAAAGACCAGCACTGGTCCTGCTTCAGGASATGAGCCAGAAAATTAAAGAGGTGGGGAAATTCTCTAGGCAAGTTCTTCCTCCCTGGGCAATTTCCCAGGCCCTCATGCTGCCCAGGGTGAGCTCTGGCTTTGTCAGAGCTGGAGACAGGGCTTAAACCTCTGCTCTTCAGGCTCCTCACCTTGGAATTGAGAACATCAACCCCCTAATTCCCATCAACGGTTCTAAATTAAGACTTTTGACTCTTTAAAGGAGCAAGAGGAATGTGACATTTTGCGCAAGAGAGAAAAATGACAAACCTGATTAAAACAGAAACTGCCAACCGATGACAGTGGTTGATTGTTAAATAAGTCTTCGCATTCATGATTATCTGCTTTCATAAAGCAAAATTCTTTCTTGATTGAGAGCCTCATTTAATTCTTTTCTGGTTTATGGAAAAAGAGTTTGCTCCTCTGGGGGCTCTGTTTACATAAGAGAGACAAGACTAAAGCTGCTTTCGTCTTTTCATGTGATGATAGTGGATGTAAGATTGACATTTTGTAGGCTGAGAATCTTTCATATCTGAGCATTACATTGCAATTATTCCAGTCCCAGCCATGTAGCACATTCATATGAGAACAAAACATCCTTTCACTGAACACAAGAGGAAAGAAAACCTGTGAGACATGGTTGACAYCAGATTTTTCAGGATGGAAGGTTGTTTTCCTGACTCTAGGGAGCAGCAGTGCTCCAGATATCACAGTGGCATCGCTGAGAGAATACAAGAGCAAAGTTTGCTGCACCAAGTACAGGAYCTCACTCTGGTCCTTTCAGATTGAGAGATATCTTCTAACATTTAATCCACTGAACCAGGCATCTCATTTTCCCTCCACTTTMGCTCTGCTTCAGAAGATAAAAATCTCCAATATCCTCCCTCACCTGTCAGCAAGAGAATAAGGTTATTGAATAATGTGGGAAAATGCAGTAATYTGCATCTTCCCAAAACATCTACTGTAATAAATGAGATTTGTTCCTGATGTTTTATCATCTCTGTACTCCTTTCTGACCCTTTTACTTGTGCCACTGTGGAATAATAATAAAAACTGTCTCATTTCTCCAGTGCTACAGGATCCTCTCTTCCTTTAGCAAGGCTGTAAGAGCACACGCTTACTGGAAGAGAAATCACAGAAGGGTRTTAGATTTACTGAGGTTTCAAATCACTTTTTACCTTTTGTTACTGTCCTGATGACTCTAGTGCAACAGCTCATTTAAATGAGCATTTGAYTGATGATTCCTTTTCAGGATAGGTTTATTTTCCTTTTATCCTTCTATATTTTCCAAGTTATTTGTCTGGTGCTCAGGGAGAAGCTGGGCAGACCTGGGACAGCCTGACCAGTGCTGACTCACCCACCAGCCGAGCTCTTAGGGAGGTTCTGCATCATCCTCCCTCTAATCCAAGATTTACTAACACACAACAGCTACCACACTGTTCCAGGGCCTCTCCAGCTCCTTCTCCCAGGATTMATCTCCCTTTCCCTCCCCAAAATGCCCACCAGATGCCCGCCTGCCAGGCCCTGGCTGCTTTCCACTCCCTGCTGCACAACATCCTGTCCCTGCCAAACTTGAATTTGGCCAACTCCAAGACCTGCACAGAACCACCCACATYGAAGCCTCCCAGTTCTGAGCAGCTGTAATGAATGTTTTACACAATAAAYTGCCCTTTAAAGCATAGCTGGATAACAAGCATTAAACCCACCAYGGTGACAGGCTCAGTAGTTATCTGGCAGATTTTGTGTGTTCCTGTAGATGGCTGCAGAATACCAACTTGGATTTGACTMATTTGAAACCTCCTGTCCTTAGCAGCCACTCGTTTGTCAGGTTTCTTGCTCTAAACCAAAGCTACAAAACCAACTGGGGTTATAGAAAAATTCCCATTTATCTGCTTTTTAATTGTGTTCTTAAAGCCATGAKGGGCTAAAGATTGAAAAGAGAAGTTTGTTCAGGGAGCACCAACTTTATTAAACCAACCTTTGGACTTACATACTAATTTGTGATTTCTACACAGTCATGTATCATTTATACTCTCAGGATACATTGTCTTTGTTTAGTACAATTCCATCAATATTAGCAGCACTGGAGTTGCTCAGTATCTCACTGCCAGAACCTGACTTTGCAAGTCTTTTAAAGTATCTAGTGAATCTAAGGCACATTCACAGCTCATCTGGGTAGTGTTAAAAAAAAAGTGCTTTAAGCAATTGAACTGCCTTTGCTACTTAACAGAAACAAAGTAGCTTCTGCTGTTAAGGGAAAACCACCATAACATACTCAGAGATAGTTTCCCATAGATACACAGATGCTTCCTTTTTTACAGGAAGAGAGAAATCAATATGAAGATGTCACCAGGACCTGGAAAAGAACAAAAAACTAAATTAGAGAATATCCCCATCTCTTTTTGTATACTTGATTGATTWGCCCAGCCTTTCCTTTCAAATTAAGGCTTTGTTTTTCTGCCATTAAAGGAAATTGCTAAAAATTCTTAATTTTTTTTTAGGGTGCATCMAAGTTTCAAGAAGCAGCAAAGCTGTTTTCTGCAGACGAACTTAACTCAAAGTAGCTCAGAGAGAAGATTACATGATCATGCCCTGGTCAGAGCAGAGACACGGAGTCTCAGCAATACCAGTTCAGACTATACTTCGCTCATCATTGCTTTGGGCAAATCTATTATTCTTCAATAAGGAACTTGCTCCCAAACCAGAGGCTGGAAAGGTTTCCTCCTCCCTACAGGATGAAGCACGTGTAGCAGGGGAGCACAGGGAGGTGAAATCCCTGCTGCAACAGCAGGAGCTGGGGAAGATGGGTCACAAAATGGGATTCCAATGTCATTAGAGCCAGTACCACGCAAACCCAAGAGAAGAAAAACATGTCATACCTATAAATGTGACTGCAGTCAGTGTCTYTCCAAGGGTCCAGAGGCCTGTTTGGATCCTACCCTTCCCAAACGCAGTTTCCCATTTCCTTCCCTGTATTCTCCCCACCAGGTCCGTGCAGCTCTTCAGTCCCCAGTTCCTCTGTCCGTGTCCGCCCTACTCCAGCACCGCATGCCCCAGGCTCCCAGATATCCTCCCCCCATGCCCTACCTCCGTCAGGTTCCCCCCTTCAGCCAGCCCCAAACAGCCACTTCCGCGTCCCCGCAGGCTCCCTGTGCTCGTCCCCGCACAGCCCGGTCCCTCAGCTGCCCCAGCGCGGACCCGCATTGCCGGTACCGCCACTCCCCAGCCCCTGTGTCCCGTGTCCCGGTGTCTCTGTGTCCCGTGTCCCCTCACGCCGCTCCATCCCGCAGGCCCGGCCGCGCCGGGGCGGAGCCGCACGCATTGCCCCGCCCCTCCGGTGGGAACAGCCAATCACAGCGCGCGGCTCTGCCGGCGGGGCCGAACCGGAGCCAATAGGAAGGCGCGTTAGAGGAGCTGGGGGCGGAGCGAGCGTTTCCCGCCCTGAGGAAGCCTGAGGGGGCTTGAGGCGGTGGGCGGTCTCTGTTGGTGTAATCGGACTGTTGTGTTATTGTTTTAACTGAAAAAAATGCCAATAAATGGCTTTTACAGAAGTTATTTCCCCACTCAACTTCAGCAACAGTCAGTTAGTAGAACGCAGTTGCTCCAAARAGAAGCTTTATTGGGAGAAGAAAAACTTTGCCCTTCAATACCGATGTTATTTTGTCTTGGTGTCAGAGATGCTGGGTAGGTAAACCTGTATAGAGCTGATGTAAAGTACTTTCGAGAGACAGATYCAAAATCYCTAAAACTGGATATCCAAAMTGTGAAGGCTGGTAGATAACACACCATTTGTTCCACCAYRGAATGTGGTTCCCTTGATCTGGAAGAACAGTGATATTCCCCTTGCTGTGATTATAAAGTACCARTGATTTAACTGAATGTGATTACATTCATTGAACACAGCTGGAATTGCCCTCCAAATAAATTTGCCTTAAGGTCATCAAACCTATTAGCTTAAAATTTCAATCTTTTCCAAATTCAGGACATTAGCAGCACTTCATATTAATTTTTTTTCTTAATCAGCATGTGAGAAAGGACTACCCCCATGGTTCCTCTCATAACCCCCAGACCTCRACATTTCATCATGCTGTCCCTTTTGTGACCATCACTGATATTTAGTATGATCAGAAATATTTCAATGTGCTTGAATTTAACATTTAAGTTATTGCTGAGTATATTTATATTTGCTACATGCTTAGGGACATCGCCGCAGGGACCAAAGCAAGGGTCTGATTTTTTGGGTTGTCCACAGCACGCATTAAGAGTCTCTGCTGGAACTAAAACATTTATAAAATGAAGTTTAATGTGATTACAAACTGGTGGGTTGCTTCTCGTCCTTTTTTTTTCCATAAATGGGATATTTTCTATATTCTCTATTGAGCCAAACACTGTTCCCCGGTGTGACACCTTCATGGTGACCCTGCTGCATTTGGGCAGCACTGAATGGTTTGCAAGGAGTGAAAATTCAACCTGTGCTACCACTTACTCTGGTTTTCCAGGGGTGATGCAAGACTGCAAGTGAGACTTGCCTTAGATTCTCCTTTTGCTCAATAAAATCACAACAGGAAWTCCACATGGAACGAAGTAGTGAGTTTATTAAGAGTTTCCCCCACCATCCTCACACTTTGGCACACAACTTGCAATAAATGAACAAAAGAGCACACAGCTAAAATCCTRTTTTCTGACTACAGAATAGAAGGCACTTAACCCTCCCTGTTCCACCATTGCTGCGATTTCCAGACGTACCAGGAGCTGAAGGTAGATGCAGAACAAATTTCAGCTTTGTTGARTTCACTTCCAACAGCCTCTGACATATCTCCAACACAACCAACTCTTTTACAGCTGGGCCTTGAAGCTTTCATCATTGTCAGCTGAATGGGGGCAGAGAAAGGATTCACACCATCTGGGAATTACTCAGATGGACACTTCCCAAATTTCCCAGGCAAATGCCCTTCTTTTCCTCATACAGCTTATRATCCTCCAAAGTTGTCCCCAAACTATTCCGTGCCTTGATAATGGCACCAGATTCTCCTCCTGGCTCTCGCTTTTCCATATCTCTCCATTTCTTTCCCCCACACTCAGCGTTTTTTTGGGTGCTTTTCATTCCCTCATGCCTGAGAGAGAGGTTTGATCAGCTCATAATCCATGCACTTGGTGAGGCAATCACGTGCCACGCCGATGATGTGCTGCTTCTTGGGGTGATCCTCCTGCTTCCCGATGTACGTCAGGATCTCCAGCAGCTCTGACTCCACCAGCTTCTTCGCCAGCTCTTTGTCAGCGCTGATTAAGTTGAAAGCAATGACCAACCCTCGGTGCTGGACCTCCATGTTGTCATGCAGGCAGAGCCTCTGCAGGATTTCAAGCCACTGGGTGGTCTGGAAGGGGGAGAGAGATGATCAGTACTGATCTGAAGAATATCTCAACCAAGAACATCACTTCTGCTTCCTTCAGCAGAAGAGCAATACCCATGTCACTTACAGTTATTTAATTTTTTARCTAAGGAAACCTGACTCCAAGCATTTGAACCCAATTTTTGTCRTAAAAGAAATCAGAATCTTTCACAGCACTGGAACCACATGAAACACATTTCATGTTTAGGCTGCTGAATGATCTCTGTGAAAAGGACCTGACCAGAGTATTGACAAAGTTCTCATCTGAGATGACCAGGATACTGCCCCACCCTGATCTTTCTCGGCCTCTCTTTTGGCTTGATTAATAATTTTTATCTTAATGAGCTCTAGTGTCAAACATCATCATTTGTGGAACACAACAGCTTCAGGAGTTCTCAACCACAGCTCTTCAGGCACTTAGTCATGCAGGGTCTAGTTCTCTGAGCATACAGAACTATGCAGAGAAGGGAGATTCTTTGGGATCTGTAAAGCTCAGTAGGTTATGGATCAAACTCTTCTCATTTCTGAGTGAAAAGATTGGATTTCAGGTTATTTATCAAAATGGACTAAAAGCATGCACACCCAGGACCCAGCTTCTCCAGGTCCCTCACTATGAAACTCATAGATTGCATCTCCCTTTTGAGAGGCATTTTCATGTTTGAGCCAGAACCCTTGCAGGGTACAYCCACACTGCCCAAATTCAGAGTTATGCTCTTACCACTT